TGAATATTGGGGGGAAAGGGACTTCAATGAAGAGAACGTTTTTAAACCTGTCAACAAATGATTACCCAGCAAATTGGGATCTGAGAAAACTTGGATGACTGAGGTAATGAATTCTTTGCAAATTAATGTGGACTCTAGTTGCAGACTGTGTAAGTTTTATGTACTGGATCCTACTGTAATGAATGCTGTTAATTGTTGAATTCAAGTCTGAGGTGCAGTGAAAAATCATAACTGCCTGGTTTAAAAGCTCAGACTTTGTGCATTTATCATGTAAACTAGTATTTATATATAATATTTAATATTGGTTGTTCTAAGTTTGGAGTTCTGGTTTGGGCTTAGCAACTGGTGGGTTTTTCTGTGTGTGATGTTATAATTAACTTGTAAGTAGTTCTGTAACAATAGCAATTCCTTTCAGAAGCTTGGCTGTAGAGTCAATGTGTTTTGTGCCCTCATGATCTCTTGTTCATTCTCGTTGGTTTGTTTGTTTGTTTGTGACCCAGCAAGATAAGTAATGGCGCTCCAAAGATTTGTTTGAGTGTTGTGGAATTTTTTTAAGCTTAAGGGAAACACTGATAGCTGAGGGAAGAGACTTCTGGTTTCACTTTAAACTTTGGGTGTTAGTCCTGTGAAGACCTCTCAATAACAGCTGTATAAAGCAGTGCTTTTGAGTGGAGAAGGATATGTATAGCTAATTAGGTCCTTACAGTGAAGAGTTAGTGCCAGTTACAGACTAAACAAAAGCATGGAAATGTTTATTAAACATAGTATGTGGAAGCTGAAGTGTATGATAGTTTCAGGAAGAAATTATTTGCAGTTCCGGTTGAAGTTGCCAGTAACTTAATCCCATGAAGGTGTTAGATACAGGAATTTTGCTGTAAATGTTATACAAGTTGTGTTGTAGCAGCTATACCAGGGGTGTTTTGGGAATTGTCCAAAAGCAGTTTTGTTACTTTTCAATTTATATAGGAGAGTTTTGGGATTGATGGTATTATACTTTGACTATGTTTGAAATATTTTGAATTTGAACAATAAATGGTTGGGGCTCTTTAAAGTTTTGAAGTAGATTTGTAGCTCTGGTTATGGATGAGGTTGTGGCCATGTTCGCCAAGCTACTGGGTTTGGTTGCAGACGTTTTGTCACCCTGCTAGGTAACATCATCCATGCACCTCCAGTGAAACATCGGTGTTCTGTCCCGTTTGTTATTTATATGTCTCAGTTTGCTGGGGTGGTTGATATTACTTCCAGTTTTGTTTCTCAGTGGTTTGTACACAGCGTCTAATTCAACGTGATTGTTGATGGAGTTCCGGTTGGGATACTAGGCCACCAGGAATCCCCTGGCATGTCTCTATTTGGCATGTGCGATTATTAGTGTGTTGTCCCAGTCGAATTTGTGTCCCTCGTTGTCCGCGTGTAGTGAGACAAATGAGGATTGGTCATGTCTCTTGGTGGCTAGTTGGTGTTCATGTATCCGTATAGTCAATTTTCTTCTGGTTTGGCCTATGTAGTGTTTCTCATAGTCCTTGCATGGTATTTTGCATATTACCCCAGTTTTGCAGGTTTTGGGTATGGGATCCTTTGTGTTCATCAGTGGCTGTCTTAGGGTAATTGTTGGTTTGTGGGCTACTGTGATACCTGGGGGTCTGAGTAGTCTTGTGGTCATCTCTGAAATGTCCTTGATGTATGGTAGGGTGATAAGTAACACTGGTTGTGTTGTGTCTTCCTGTTGTGGTCTGTCTCAGAGGTAATGGCGGATTGTGCTTTTCGGATGTCCATTTATATTGAAGACTCCATATAAGTACAGAACTCAGGAGACATCAGCAAGACAGTCCACCAAAAAATGAAGCCGGAGGGATCCAACACCTCCTGATTCTATGGACTCCCCAAGGAACACAAACAAGGGGTCCCCCTCAGACCTATTATCTCACTGCCAGGTACACCAACATATAGACTTGCCAAAGAACTACAACAGAAATTGAAGTACTTAATGGACAACACGACCCACTCAATCCACTCTTCCCAAGAATTCCTCAACATCCTCAATGACACCAGGATAGATGAGGACGAGATGATAATATCCTTCAACGTAACAGCACTATTTACATCCATAAACATCGCCCTAGCCAAAGAAACAATTGCCACACCACTAGACAAATCAAGTAAGCAGATAATCCAGGACACCAACAACATCAATAAGGACACCACCATGAAACTACTGGATTTGTGCCTCACCACTCACTTCACCTTCACCTTCAAGAACAACATATACAAACAAATCAATGGAACACAATGGGATCCGCAATATCAGGACTGATTGCAGAAGCAATAATGCAAAGGTTAGAACAAACAGCGCTCCCCACTATACAACCCAAACTTTGGGTCCCACATGTAGATGACACCTTTGTGATTATTAAACACACTAAACTGGAAGAAACCCACTGACACGTAAACAACATCCTTACCGGGATAAAGTTCACGAAAGAAGAAAAGAACAATAACTGACTACCCTTTCTGGACTTAACGGTAGAACGCAAAAACAGTGGGGCACCCCAGACTAGCGTATATAGAAAGACCACACATGCAGACCAAATACTCAATTACACTAGCAATCACCCCAATGCCCACAAACTGCATCACGACATTATTCAAACAGGCCGCAACACATTGCAGCAACCCGGAACTATGCAAAGCAGAACAGGAACACTTAATCGGAGTCTTCAAAAGAAATGGATACCTGTAAAGCGTAATCTGCCGTTACCTCTGAGACAGACCACAACAGGAAGACACAACACAACCAGTGTTACTTATCACCCTACCATACATCAAGGACGTTTCAGAGATGATCACAAGACTACTCAGACCCCCAGGTATCAGAGTAGCCCACAAACCGACAACCACCCTGTGACAGCTACTGACAAACATAAAGGATCCCATACCCAAAACCGGCAAAACTGGGGTAATATACAAAATACTATGCAAGGACTGTGAGAAACACTACATAGGCCAAACCAGAAGAAAATTGACTATACGGATACAGGTACACCAACTAGCCACCAAAAAGCACCACTAATTCTCACTTGTCTCACTACACATGGACAACGAGGACATGAATTCGACAGGGACAACACATTGATAATCACACGAGCCAAACAGAGACACCCTGAGGAATTCCTGGAGGCCTGGTACTCCAACTGGAACTCCATCAACAAACACAATGAATTAGACCTTGTGTACGAACCACTGAGAAACAAAACCGGAAATAATACCAATCACCCCAGCAAACCGCGGCATATAAATAACAAGCAGGACAGAACACCAAATCTTCACCGGAGGCACACTGACAATGTTAACTAGGAGGGTGATAAAATGTTTGCGCCCAAACCCACTGGCATGACAAGCATGTCTACAACCTCAGTTTGGGCTATTCTATTTTATCATAGTGCCTTTTGTAATAAACTTCCATTTTATGCTTGAAGCAAAATTTGCAGCATTATGTGCTTATGGTCCAGCAATAGTAAAAAACAAAAACAAATAAAAATATGATCTACCCAATCAGGTACCTATCAAAAGACCTGACTTGTAAAGCAATAACATAGTTGGGATCATAACATGGAGCTTTGATGTCCCTAGTGTGTGGAAGGTGTGTTTAGGTGATGACTTTTTATGCAGAAAAGTATCAGTTATTTGAAAAATCCTTCATTGCTAACTTTATGCCTGTTGTCTTGTACCAATTTTACTACTACTTAGAAACCCTACAGTGTGGAAACGGGCCATTTGGCCCAATGTGTCCACACAGAGTCTCCAAAGAGCATTCCATCCAGACTCATTCCCCCACCCCCACCAATCCCTGTAACCCTGTATTTCCCCTGGCTAACCCATCCAACTTGCATATCCCTGGACACTATGGGCAATGTAGCATGGCCAATCTACCTAACCTGCACATTTTTGGACTGTGGAAGGAAATTGGAGCACCTGGAGGAAACCCACACAGAGGCAGCAGTGCTAGCCACTGTGCCGCTCCATACTGTGCTATCTAGGAAATGTTGTGCCTATAATTTCAATAGTTGATTATTACTGAGAATATTGATGAGTTTTTCTAACTCTTGCCAAGTCCAAATACCTCAAGTGCATCTCACAAACAGCAGATGCTATTACTAGGTATCTGAATCAACTAATAAATGAGTTAGTGAGAATGAGAAGATTACTCCTGAAAATGAAATGGGTGCCATTGAAGATCTCGGAGGAGCCTTCGAAGTAAAATATCTTGATTTATGCATGAAATGTTGTCTAAGTATTTGGTTTTCAGATGACCGACATTTTTGGGCACCCAGTTTTAAGCCAAAATATTGTGGATAAAATGGTTCCTTAATCGTCAACCTAGCATTATCTAATGGAAACCTGCTGGACATAATAAACCTGCCAGGAACATGCATTTTTTCAATATTTTAATCTGGAAGTGAATATTTGAAAAAGGAAGACAAGTGCTGAACTCTATTCACTGCTATGTATCTCTTTTCCTTCATTATCCTTAGCAGTATCCGTTTGTGTTGTTTGGAGTCTGATTCACTACTGGTTGATGCTACAATAAGCTGTCACAGCAAAATGGCAACGAAGATCCTTTTATTAATGTTCATTTGGTATACTTACACCAGCCACTCAATATTAATGTACCTAGGTTCACAAGGCAGTCGAGTTCAAATTGTGCCTGTATCCTTCCTTAGGAGTACAACATAGCAGTTCCATTCACCTTTCTACTCCAAGAAATTGCAGGTTTTAAAGTTAGCAGGAGGGCGTACAACACCTAGCTGCAAGACCATTTATATAGTGCTGTTACATAATGGCTAACTATATTAGGTTTGAAAAAAATGAAAGGGAATTATTTTGTTTTCAGACGAATTGATTATAGATAAAAATACTCATGTAAGCATTTGAAGAACCCATTTGTATCCTAAATCTACTATTTCAGTTGTTTCTAACATCCCATTCTTTATCTCCCTCCCCAGGTGTTGCCTCTCAGTTTGGTGTCCGAGGTTATCCAACCATCAAATTGTAAGTGAAGGATTATAGTTTTTTTTTTTGTACAATTAGGAACATGCTGTCTTAAAGCACACGTTTCGGGCCTAAACGTCAGCCTTCCTGCTCCTATGATGCTGCTTGGCCTGCTGTGTTCATCCAGCTCTACACCTTGTTATCTCAGATTCTCCAGCATCTGCAGTTACTATTATTGATATGGAATGCTATTTATTGAATTTTATTGCGGCTTCATTAGGCAAAATTTGTTATTTTTGAAATTGGCATCAAGTTGTATTAGATAAATCAAAAAAATCACTCATTCTGCATATGTGCATGTAAAAACCAGGTTAGAAAGGCATTAAAGCTTGGACAATTAAAGCAAGAGGAAACACCAGATGCTAAGGTGCTCATCTGAATTGGCGTGCCAAGTATCCACAGCATACTGAGAGCGTCACAACGGAGTTGTGCTGGTAATGTGGTGAGAATGTCTGAGACAAGCTTACCAAAGTGAATATATATGGAGAACTTGAGTCTGGTTGCACATTTAAGGAGGTTAAAGGCATCACAAGGACTCTCTGAAGGGTTCTCTTAGGAGTTTTGATGTTGCCTTCGAATTCTAAGGAAAGCTTACCCAGGTTCACTGCACCAAGTGCAACCACAAAATATGGTGCAACCTCCTTTTGAAAGAGAGCTCCTATATGAGGCAGAGAAAAACGTGAGGAGAAAAGAATTGAGTCAGCAACTCATCCAAAATTCAGTCGTTTGCATTATCCTGTTCTAATTGCAGTAGAACCTTCCAGGATTGGCTTAGCAGTTAACTACGTAGCTCTCAGAGCCCTAACAAACAACCAGATAATGAATATGGCTTGTGGGTCACACTAGTGCATTAGTCGTCATTGCGTTTTTTAATATATTTCAGTTCTCCTGATATAAAGGTCAACATTTCAACAATCTAAGAGGTATCTTTTAGCAAACGCGCAACAGCTTGTATTTATTTGCGTAGTAGACACAAATTAGGGGAGGGACCTGTGGATGTGCACTTCAAGTTCTCCCAGTTACTTTCTCTCTCTCAATACCCCCCTGTTCATTGTCTTTTCCCTTGCTTTCTGTACTCTCACTAAATGCAGAAACTCTCACTTCTACAGACTTAATTCTATTTGCACTTTTGGCAGAAGTTAAATAACTTAATTTTTTGAGTAACAAGGAGGATTGATCAGGATAGCACAGTGGATGGTGTCTCCATGGATTTTAATAAGGCATTTGATAAGGTCCCATATGGCAGACTGTTTAAAAATTAAAGCCAGTGTGATACAAGGGAATGTGGGAGAGTTGGGTCCAAAATTGGCTCAGTGACAGGAAGCAAAGAATAACGGTCAATGAATGTTTTTATGAATGAAAGTTTATTTTAAATTGGTGTTCCCCAGGGCTCAATTTTTGGGGTCCTTTGCTGTCTAAGGTATGCGTTAATGAGTTAGTTTAAATGTAGGACATTGACTTCGGAAATTTGCAGATGATGCAAAAATTAGTCTGCTATATCTTAGTATCCTAGAGATGGCTGTCAATTGCAGGAAGATAGTGGCAATTTGCCAAAAGCGGCAAATAAAATTCAGACTGTAGAAGTGAGAGTTTCTGCATTTAGTGAGAGTACAGAAAGCAAGGGAATGAACATTAAACAGGGCGGGTATTGAGAGAGAGAAAGTAACTGGGAGAACTTGAAGTGCACATCCACAGGTCCCTTAAGGTGGCAGGTCAGATAGAAAAGGTGATTTTAAAAAAAGGCATATGGGATGCTATCCTTTCTTTGGCTGAGGTATTGAATACTAGAGCCATGATGCTGAAAGTAAATAAAACAATTGTTAAGCCACAGCTGTGTACAGTTCTGGTCACCATATCATAGTGAGGACATAATTGCAGTCGAGAGAGTCGATGTGATATACGACAATGTTGCCAAGACTTGAAAATTGCATTTTTTAGGTAAGATCGGATGGGCTGGGTTTGTTTTCCTTAATAGAGGAGACTGAAGGGTGACATATTGAAGTTGTACCAAATAATGAGGGGCTTGAACAAAGAGAACAGGGAAGACTTGGTTCCATTAGCAGAGAGATCAATTACTGGGAGGCACAGATTCAAGGTGATTGGTAGGAGTAGTAGAGGGGGGACACGATAAAAGGTTGTTTCACCTAGAGTGTGGTAGCTGTCTGGAATTTGTTGCCCACTTTAAAAGGAACCTGCATCTGTATCTGAAGCACTAATCTACAAGGCTACAGACCAGGTGCTAGAAAGTGGAATTAAATGGGTAGCCAGTTTATTCAACCAGTGCAGACATGGTGGGTTTAATGGCCTGTTCTCTACTATAACCCTTCTATGATTCAAGAAGCAGCATAGTTAATATCTCTTGAAAGGAGAGAGGATAAAAGGTCGCCTTAATGAGTTAAGGTGAGGGGAGACTAAAAGACAAGAAAATAAGCTTTCTTGACAGATATTGATGAGTTAGATAGCTGCTTCCTGTGCTGTAAAATTTTGATTTAATGGAATTTATCGTGTGTTGTGCTAACTTACTGAAGAGTGTTGATTGTAGTTGTAATATGAACATTTTCTCTTAATTTAAATTTTTATCTGATTGTGCAACAGAAATTTGATTTTTATCTGCATTGTTATGTTATATTACCATGTTGAAGCATTTGAGATACTCCTTGTACATTGTAGAAATTGATGTACAACTAAAATGTTTGTGGTAATGGAACATTAAGTGTTTAAGCACTAATTAAATGATAATGTATTTCACCAAAAGGCCATTGATGGTAACCAAGAAGTCATCTTGTGTACAGAAATAATAGAACTTCTTTTGGCACAGTCCTGCAATTAGTGTCCTCTATGTATATCTTTAAAATATTTTTACACTCTTAAAATACAAAATTCTCATTATCCAGGTTGTTTATTTTAGATTATGGAAATTGCCAGAAAATATCTCTATTAGCATGTCAGTGTTTTGTGAGTTCTACCTTGTTTGTTGAAGGTCCGGCTCTACCACTGCCTTCTGTTGACACTATCCACACACTCTACAATTGCGACTCAGCAAGTTCACAAGCCCATGTCAATTTATTGTGTTGTGCATTGCATTGGCGTGGTGCATGTTGAGATTTGTGATCATAAGCACTGGGAGCTGTAGCAAATACTAAGCGGGTTGAGTCTCTACTCGTTGGAGTTTAGAAGAATGAGAGATGATCTCGTTGAAACATTTAGGATTCTTAAGGGCCTTGGCAGGGTAACTGCTGAGAGAATGTTCATCTCATGAGAGAGTCTAGGACCAGAGGGCATAGTCTTAGAACAAAGGAGTGCCAATTTAAGTCTGAGATGAAGAGGAATTTCTTCTCTAAGAGTTAAGAGTCTTTGAAACTCCTTGCCACAGAGAGCTGTAGATGTAGATTCCTTGTGTATATTTAAGACTGAAACAGATAGATTCTTGTTCATTCAGGGAATCAATTACGAGGAAAATGCAGGAAGGTGGACATGAGGAATGTCTGATCAGCCATCATCATTTTGAACAGCAGTGCAGGCTTGAGAGGCTGAGCAGCCTACTCCTGTTTCTATTTCTTATGGTTTTATCGTCTAATCTGGGTGATGTCATGGAGATGAAAATAGGCGGTCTGATTGGTATTATGAATATACGGCTGGAAACTCATCTTGGGTTCAAATGTGACACCAAATTATGACAGACTGGTTTAGTCTCTCTGTTGCCAGGAAGAAGGATGTCCCCAGTAGTTAGGAACAGAGTTTGGCATAGGGCTTGAAGACCAGGCTTCAGGCTTCAGTCTTCCTAACATTTAATTGGAGAAAATTTCTGCTGTGTACTGGATGTTAGATGAAGTGTTGAGTCAGCAAGAAAGTGATGGGTTGTGTCAGAATACATGAGAACCAACAGTCTGCATTTCGATAGTGTTGCTAAATTGCAGCTTGTGGATAAGATATAGGAGGGAGCCAAAGATGGATTCTTGGAGTCCCCAGAGATACATGTTGAGGAATGGGGGGAATCCATGTCAAATAATGTTCTGGCTATGAATGGAACCAGATGAGAGCAGTTCAGACCCAGCTCAATGATGAAGAGATGGAGGATGGTATGGTTAACAGTGTCAAAAGCAGCAGGTGGTTCAGTAAGATTGGGAAAGGACAGTTTATCTTTGCATGCTTAAAGGTGAGTGTATTTTTAGGGGAACACACGGATAACTATCCTGGTTACAGTATGTAACAATTTTTGTTTCACTTACAAGAATAGAATGTTTTATAATGCATGCAAGATTTTGAATTTTAAAGGATAGGGAAAGAATTGCCTTTATAAGGAACTTCTCATGATCGTAAACTTCTCAAAATTCTTGTTGAATATAGAGCTGAATTTAGTGGAGCCCACAGAACATAAAGGTGAAAAGGGTTGGGGCAGCAGAAGGTGAGAGAATCTGGTGTACCAGCTTCCGATTCAGAGTTTTGCAAACAGTGGTGAGATGCGTGGCAGAAGTGGTTTTGTCAACAGATAACTGGATTGCCGTTCACATTCAAAGCCATCAAGTTAAATTTGAAAATATTTATTAAATTTAAAGGTTGTGAATATGGCATCATTGAATGCATTATTGAAGGTGTAATGAAAAATTATAATTCAAGTGTCTAATTAACAATGTAAATCATTTGGTTATATCTATTCCCGACTAATAATGAACTCAGATGTATGTTATTGGTAAGCCTTGCACTTTTGCATTAATTTAGGTTCTATTTATGTATTTTCTGTTGGAGTTAATGTACCATTCTTCACTCACCTCAATGGCAAAATATTATTTAATAATATTTGTTTGTTCAAATCTTTTTATTCTACTCTTAGGTTAAAAGGTGATCTCGCTTACAATTATAGAGGACCTCGTACCAAAGAAGATATAATTGAGTTTGCTGGCAGAGTATCAGGGTAAGTGAAATTTTGTTTATCTTGAAATTTTAAGTAATAAGAAACTTGTACATTAGTCCGCAGTGTGATGTTAAATAATTCAGTATTGATTAGATATTTGTTGCAGCTTGTGTTTTGTTTACTGTAAGCTTCAGAATACATAATGGCTGAAAGAATGTCCTTCTTCCTAAATGAAACTAAAGCTGGTATTTGGATCGGGTCATCTACATCACCTATATTTTGTTTTTGGTTAGAAAATGTAAGTATTCTAATCACTGACATCTGTGAGACACAAGAGTTGTATTGAGGTGATCGTCTCAATTTTAGTTTTTTAAATCAAGCACATTGAATTTTGGAAGCAGATCAAACCCCTTGAGAGAAGTATATAGAAAATTCTCCGTACGTGTGAAGGCCATGGCAACAGCCCTTGGGATTGAGACAAGGTTTAATGTTGTTAAGGTGATTGTAGCATGTGGAAAAATTACAGGGTGTGTACCTTCAAAATAAGAGATGGGAAAGAGGGGTTGCAGTGTCATGGGAGAATTAAAGAAATAACTGAGCACCTCAGGCTATATTTTCCCTGCAGTACTCATTGGAAAATGCTGATGCCTTTTTCCATCACTACTTGCTGCCACTTTGAAAAAAGAAGAATAATAATAGAAGACAATGACAGAATGGTCAAGAGTAGGGAGAGAGAGAAAGAAAAAACCCACAAGGTCCTCTTTACTCACATCTGGGATCTTGTACCAAAATTGGAAGGCTGTCCCGTAGACTAGCCAAGCAACAACTTCATGTAATTATACTCCAGGAACGATCCTTACAGGAATTATGCCTTAATGTCTCAGACATCACATTACCTGAGGGTGTGCTGTCCTACCTGCAGGACATACTCACCAGTAGAAGTGTTAGATGATTGGGGGTCAGTTGCTCATCGACATTGACTGTGGACCCTATGAAGTCTCATGGCACCAGGTAAAACATGAGCTGCAAATTTCACCTACTACTGCCCACAGCTGGTGAATTAATACTGTTCAGTGTTGAACACCGATTGGAAGAAGCAACAAAGGAACTGAATGGCCTTCGGATAGACGTCAGTGACCAAGAATGGCTGCTTGGCACCACCACTAACAACCAAGTAGAGTCCAAAAGGATGTAGCTGCTAGACTGGTTCTGTTGCTATAGTCTGATCAGGGAGCCAACAGGACAAGAAAGATCTACTTAACCCTGTCCTAACCAGTCCACTTGTCGCAGATGTATCTATCCGTGACAATATTTGTAGGATTTGCCACTGCATAGTCCTTGTGGAGATGAAATCCTACCTTCACATTGAGGATACCTCCACCATGTTCTGTGACACTACCACTGTGCTAAGTGGGATAGATTTAGAATAGATCTGGCAACTCGAAGCTGGACATCCTTCAGATGCTATAGATCATCAGGGGAATTGTACTCAGTCACAATTTGTAATAATTACCATCAAGCCAGGGAATTAACCTGTTTCAATGAAAAGTGTAGGAGGGCATGCCATGAGCAGTACCAGACACACCTAAAAATGAGGTGTCACCGCATGAAGATGCAACTTGGACAGGACTATTTCCATGCCGAAAGATGGAAGCAGCATGCGATAGACTGTGTTAAACAATTCCACAGCAAAAAGATCAGATATAGAAATGTAATAGATTTTCTAAATATCAATATTTCTGCTTACCTGGTAAAGCCTGAATGATCTGTAATCCTGCCACATCAAGATATGAATGATGGTTGCTGGGACTTGAGGACTATCTAGTGGAAAAAAACTAGAAGATTATGGATTATTTGGGTATTCTTTAAGTTGAGAAGGGTTTTACCATGTGACTTTTTGGAACCTGAAGTCAACAGTTTAATATGTACTGCAAGCCACCTGCTTTATACTAGAAATCAAGAGACTTTGAAAAACAGCTAAGCAAAGTTTTCAAAGAGATAAGAGATATGGTTTATGTTTTTAATTACTGAAAAACTAAGCTTGGCTGAGAGGATTAAGGGCACCTGCAATAATCGGTGCCTGCTAATCCTCCCTGGTCTTTGACTGCTGTACTTTTAGAACAGACCACACCACTGAAGATGAAAGTTTCTCCTGCAATCCTGTTTGTATTTGAAGTTTCTGGGAAACTAATAGATTTTCTAAATAGCAATATTTTTTCCTGCCTGGTAAAGCCTGAATGAACAGACTGTGACCAGCTCACAACAACTCTAATCCAATTTGCTTGTTGGTAAACGTCCAGTTCCGATTCCAGTCTGCAGCTGTCAACAAATCAGCTTCGTCGACAGGAAATCTAGTCCGTGTAAGAGACATTACGTTTTATTCTTTGTTTCCAGACCCTTGGCACATGGGTTGATCTTTTCGCGTTTTTGTATTTTTTTTTTAAGTATTGTCAACGGACTTGGCATCTTCGTGCAATGAGTGTATCGGTGTGTGGAATTTGTGGGATAGATTTAATTCTGGATCTTACTTTGGATGTTTATCAGAGTTTACCATTTTCTTTAAGAAAGGGGTTTGTTCATAATAAATTGATTTTTTTTTGGTTCATTGAAGAAGCCTGGTGGATTTTAAGTTTTGATAGTTGTACTATTGTGACTCAGTGGCCATTTTGGTAATTGAGTAAACAAATTTACTCATAGCTAGTGACACCCACATCCCATAAACGATTTTTTTTCGAAAAGCGTAGTCCGGAACATATCATGCTATTGTAATTTCATGCCTTTGAATTTTTGCATGGCAATATACTCTTTGCAGCAGTTTTGTATCCCCCATTAACTGCATAAGAGTTTCTATGCATCAAGATGCATAACCTGTCAAGCGCATAGTATGAGACCCAAAGATGCTTAGTTCGTACCTGACAGGCTCCCTCTTATAAAGATACACCTTAACCATTTGGGCTTTTTAATGGAAATTTGTTTCACAAGCTCACAAGTGATGTATGTATTAAATCTATTTTCACAACATGACACAGAGTGGGGAATCCAATATCATAACTACTAGCCATGGCAGGAAGTTGATGCTGTCCAATACAACTATGCAAATATTTCCTACGTGAGTAAACAAATTTAAGCAATTGGAGCACTATATAAGCCATAGTTTTTCATATAGAAAGCTTAAGAATTTAAGAAATTATTTCCTGTGCTCTGACTGATGTTGTTTTTATCCAGTAGAAAAATAAATGAAATTGGATAATTTATTCAAGGGGGATACCATGACAGGGCAGAGTATTTAAGAATGATGTGGGAAAGCTGTGAGCAGGTTACTTCATACTTATGAATAGTTCATGGTTTTAAGAATCAGCATAAAGAAATATTAAGTGGCATTGGCTAATTATGCTACTTTTTATCTTGATGCAAAGTGATTTTGCAGTTTAAAACACATTTTCTTTCTTCATATTCAGTTGTCACCATTTATACTTAATATTACTGAAAAGTTTTATGTTGAATTTCCAATGCTTTCATTTGATAGTTTTGTTTCCATGCAGTTGTTTACTTGATAACTCTTATTTTTAACTCTATTTACCTTACAAGCCTGCCATCTGCTGGATAACACTTGCCTGATCAATGTATGCATGCATAGCCATATTTAATTGATGTCTCAGCATACCCACTGTAAAGTTTAAACTGATTAGGCTCAACCATGAGCTCAAAATTTGATTATAATTCAATGTAGTTTAACCTTAAATGAAATGCTCAGCATATCAGATCACATCTGTGGAGAGAGAAAAATGGTTAATGTTTGGGTGGATAGGAACTTGTCAAAGCTTTATGTAAATAATATAACATGATGGTTACCAGAAATAAGTGAATATAATTTCAGATTCATTGACCTTTTGCAAGCTGGAACCACATTTTCCATTGCACAACTGAAAAATGCATCTCCTGCATCTACTGTTTTCCTGTCTCTCTCCAATGCCTTGACGGCCTTCCAATCTTGATCATTAAAAGACTCAACCCATGCCATGATCAGTTAAATTGTTATATTCTGACTGGCCTAGACTAAGCAAAACTGTTGCTAATTGGTTTAAGGAATGCAAGATCAATCTCTAATTGGCACTTAAAGGTGATGGACATTGATGTCATTCTGACTATCTCCACACTGGCTCCTTTAAGTAGTCAAGTGTCAATGGGTCCCTCCTGTTCATTAAGTATTGTTATTGCCTTTTTGAGTTTTTTCTTAATAAGGTGAAAGAATAGCTTGAAATGTTGTTTAAGCCTGTTTCTAAAAGAAAGGGAGGCATGTGCATTCGGTATCCTGTGAAATCATGTCTGAATGTCACCTAATTTGGTGAAGTTCCTGTTAAATCAGACATTTACTTAACACTTTTGTTTCTGCTATGTTTGAATGCTTGGAAACAGCTTGTTACCCTTTTAGTTTTGCCTTTCAAATATAATACAGAAGCTACTCTTAAAAATTGTTTTAATGTCCAGAAGATTGTACATTTACAAACTTAAACATATTGTTATAAAGTTTATTCTAATATGCAGGTTGCATTTAGCCAATTGCTATGCAGTACTTCTAATACACCAAAACAGTACACAGCAATGGTTATGATTCCTTGATGAGGGCCAATGAGCCTAGGAGTATGCTATCTCTGTCTTATTCAACCTTGGAAGATTGGATCTGAAACTAAACAGACCACTTTCATCCTTGCAGCTGTAAGTCTGAACCTTTAGGTTTTGCTTTCATCCTGTTCGCAATACCATGGTGTATTACTTTGTCGAATGAAGCTAGTAGAGTCACATCATGTTGGTTGGCTTGCCGAGCCAGTTCATTCTTTTGCAGACATTTCGTTACCATGCTGGGTAATATCTTTAGTGCAGCCTCCGATGAAGCGCCGTTGTGTTTTCCTGCCTGTTATTTAAACTCTGGAGTCCTTTGAGCTGGATTATCTCACTTCCGGTTTTCCTTCGCAGTGGAGTGTATATGGGGTTGAGCTCTTTGTTTGTTGACGACTTTCTTCGTGGAGTCTCGGGCTTCTAGGAATTCCTGTGCTTGTCTCTGCTTTGCTCACCGCAGGATCTTGGTGTTGTCCCAGTCGAATTGGTGGTTCTCCTTATCCATGTGGGTAGAGATGAGAGAGTATTGGTCATGTCTTTTTGTAGCCAATTGATATTCGTGTACCCTTGTTGTAAATTTCCTCCCTGTTTGTCCGATGTAGTGTTTGTCACAGTCTCTGCAGGGAATCTTGTATATGACATTGGTCCTGTCCATAGTGGGTAGTGGGTCTTTGGTTTGGGTGAGCAGTTGTCGTAGGGTTGATGTGAGTTTGTGTGCTACTGTGATGCCCAGTGGTTGTAGGAGTCTTATGGTCAGTTCAGACGTGTTCCTGATGTAAGGTAGTGTGATGAGTGTGTCGGGGCGTGTAGTATCTTCCTGGTGTCGTTCATGTAATTGGCATCTTCTGACCCAGTTTTTCGGGTATCCATTATCTTTGAATACCTTGAAGAGGTACTGTTCTTTTTGGCGTAGCTCTGTGCTGCTGCAGTGTGTTGTTGCCCGTTTAAATAATGTTCTCACGTAACTCCATTTGTGTGTGTTAGGGTGGTTGCTGAAGAAAATCAGCACTTGGTCAGTGTGTGTGGCTTTCCTGTGTAGCTTTGTTAGGAATTCCCCATTTGTCCTATGCTCTACCATGACATCCAGAACAAACAGCTCCCATTTCTGGACGTCATGGTACAGTGCAGGACAAATGGGGAATTCCTAACAAAAGCTACACAGGAAAGCCACACACACTGACCAAGTGCTGATTTTCTTCAGCAACCACACTAATACACACAAACGAAGTTGCGTGAGAACATTATTTAAACGGGCAACAACACACTGCAGCAGCACAGAGCAACGCCAAAAAGAAGAAGAATACCTCTTCCAGGTATTCAAAGACAATAGATATCCGAAAAACTGGGTCAGAAGATGCCAATTATATGAACTACACCAGGAAGATACTACACGCTCCGACACACTCATCACGCTACCTTACATCAGGAACACGTCTGAACTGACCACAAGTCTCCTAAGACCACTGGGCATCAGAGTAGCACAGAAATCCACATCAACCCTACGACAACTGCTCACCCGAACTAAAGACCCACTACTCACTATGGACAGGACCAATATCATTTACAAGATTTCCTCCAGAGGCTGTGACAAACACTACATCGGACAAACGGGAAGGAAATTAACAACAAGGGTACACGAACCTCAATTAGCTACAAAAAGACACGATTAATACTTACTCATCTGTATCTACATGGATAAGGAGAACCACCAATTCGACTGGGACAACTCCAAGATCCTGAGACAAGCTAAGCAGAGACAAGCACGGGAATTCCTAGAAGCCTGATACTCCGCGAATAAAGTCGTCAACAAACACATGGAGCTCGACCCCATATATATTCCACTGCGAAGGAAAACCGGAAGTGAGGTAATCCAGCTCAAGGGACTCCAGAGTTTAAATAACAGGCGGGAAAACACAACGGCACTTCATTGGAGGCTGCACTGAAGATGTTACCCAGCATGGTAATGAAACGTCTGTGAAACAACGAACCAGCTCGGCGAGCCAACCAACCACAACATCCACAACCCGAGCTACAAATCAGCTCTAAAACCTTAGAGTTACATCATGTTCAAGTACTAAGATCTATATTAATTATTCTATAATAGATTCAGCAATAAATATACACTATGAAAATAACTAAACTAAGTAAATAAAGTGTTAGTTTGCCTACCAATCCTACAGTAGTATTGGAGTAATATATAAGTATGAATAACTTACTTATCCAAAAGTAAAGTTGTAAACTGGAACCATATTTTCCATTGCACAACTGAAAAATGCATCTCCTGAATCCGTTTGGTTTCTCTGTGTTGAAGGATTTGGGATAGTTGGGTAATTTTCAAGTTGGTAAGCTGTAAAAGTCAAGTGCAACAGACTTCAGCGCTCTAGGCCCATCAGAGGAAAATTGGGAATCTGGAAATCGGCTTCCTGTTAATAGAGCCCTGTGAGATTTAAAGACCGTGTTTGTTGATACACTGCAAATTAATAGATATCTGTATTAATATATAAATTAAAGAGTGAAATCTGTTTTTCAAGCAGAGCTCAGTATGAATCATTTCTGCAGTTTCCCTTATCAGAACCATACTGTTATCATAATTTGACTGTAGGTTGTCATTTTGTTATTCATTTCAGCATTTTACCTTTAGAAAATGGTCCATATGCTTTGCAAAATCCATGGGGAAAAAATAAATAAAAGATGTAACAACAGAAATACTGAGCCTTGGTGCATAAACTAAGAGAACCAAATCCTTGGTTAAAATAAGCTTTGAAATAATTTTCAAAAGTGGAAAGAGAAGTAGAAAAGTGGAAGGATTTAGGCTGGGACTTTAAGGTCAGACATTCATTCCTTTAACTTCTCTGCCTCCTTAGTTAAAATGGTCCTTTATATCTGTCGGTCCAAACTTTTGCTATTTCTCTATTTGTCAAGTTTTGTTTGATAATATTTCTGTAAAATGCCTTGAATGGCTTGTGCATTAAAGATGGTGTATAAAGTTAATGCTGAGTTACAAGTCTTAATCTGCATTGCCTTGTACTTTCTGTAACTTTTGAAGCTCAGTTATACTAGTTTTTGGATCTTGAATCTGCATCATTTAAACTGCAAAGTAGATTCAACAGAACAAGGAGCTGTACATGCAAATCCCTTTCCTGATCTGCACTTAGCTGCTTTTAAATGTTACCACTGGCAATATAGTGAATCCGTCCCGCTATCCGTTTTTGTCACCTTTTGGCAGCGTAGTTTTGTTTACAAGAGGGCTATTGCTAGTTTCATTGCAATCTCACTCCCAGCGCTGTTACTGCATGAAGACTTTTCATGCAGCAGAGGGTCACACCACCTTCTGTGCAAAAGAAAGACCAGCTTGTTTGTTTCACCGTGCATTTTGGTTGTCAGGTATGCTTGAATTTTGAAAAGACCCTAAAAATGTGTTGTATAGCCAGGTTTAGTAATATACCCATTTGTTTTTAAATTATTTGTTTATAAAGTGATGTTTTGTTGTCTGGGTATGCCTCTTCACTTTGTTTCCTAGTTGCTCTCTACATTTAACTTCTCCATTTAAATTTAGCCATATGGATCAGTATTTCTTATTCTCTATGTAAATTATAATTGACTCCTTTACAACAAATGAAGAATCTTAACTCCTTTTCAGACAGTTTTAAAAACAATACAGATTCCACAGACCTTTTAAAGAAATTATAAATTTTCCTTACTACTGCTTTTGGGTCAAAGATCATAACATCATTGTGCAGTCAAGCTGCTCCTGCCTAAAGAATTGCAGTTGACATGTAGAAACGAAATAAGTATGGATTTGATCTTTAATGGCTTGTGAATTATGTTTTGTCTGTGGCTTGTGAAATAGATGCTTAATTGATTTTTCATTTGTTTTTATTAACAGGCCATTGGTCAGATCACTTTCCTCTCAGCAGCTATTCGATCATTGGCAGAAGAGACATCCAGTCTTCTTTGTCTATGTTGGCGGCGAATCTCCACTGAAGGTCTGGAACATGAGTGTATTTTAAACACAGAATTATCCCGTTTTAGTTTCTTTCAATCAGCTGATATAAGTTTTCAAGGCCGGGTGATGTCCCAAACACAAGGAAACCAGCCTCTTCTAATCTTCTTGTGCATTTATATTAAACAATTGGGAGAAATGCTGCTTTAAAAATGCACTGGCATATTGGGTGAGAGGGTGGGAAGTAGGTCAGATACTTGTAGCATTCCATGAGTTACTGGAAGAGGTCAAAGAGAACATAAGACAGTTTGACCACAATTTCTCAAGTATGCAAATTGTATCATTTGAGTCCAGAGTAGTCAGTGGTGTCTGCTTGCAAATGGTAAAATGCGTAAGCATAGACATGCAAATCCTAGGTCTGCAATTGATACTTTCTTAAAATATGTAAAACATCTTAGAGATCAGTTTTATATTGTATGTGAGTTGCTGTGGAACAGCTAGAAAATGATTTATTAAATGTTTGACAAATTGAATTATTTTTCAAAAATAATCAAACTGAACAAGTAAAGAGAATGTGTTAGATGCAGCACATATAGATTTTAAGCTTGACACCATCCAGGACAAACGGCCTGCTTGATTGGTACCACATCCAATAAAATCCACTCCCTCCACCATATATGATCATTAACAGCAGTGTGTACCATCTACAAGGGTGCACTGCAGAAATTCACCAATGCACCTTAGAAAGCACCTTTAAAAAAAAAAAAAAACCCATGATCAGTTTGATCCATGAGGACAAGGGCTATAGATACATGGGAATGCTACAACCTGCAAGTTCACTCGATGAGATGTCAAGAAATGGTTGGAGGGACTGGATACTGTAAAGGCCATGGGCCCTGACAACATTTCGGCAATAGTACTAAAGACTTGTGCTCCAGAATTTGCCAAGCTGTTCCTGTATAGCTGCAACACTGACATCTACCCAACAATGTGGAAAATTGCCCATGTGTTCCTGTACACAAGAAGCAGAACAAACTAACCCAGCAAATTACCACCTCATCAGTCTACTCTTGATCATTAGTAAAGTGATGGAAGGTGTCATCAACAGTGCTATCAAGCAGCACTTGCTCAGCAATAACTTGCTTAGTGATGCCCAGTTTGGGTTTCATCAGGGCCACTCAGCTCCTGACCTCGTTACGGCCGAGATTCAAACCTGGACAAAAGAGCTGAATTCCAGAGGTGAGGTGATAGTGACAGCCTTGACAGTGTATGGAATCAAGGAGCCCTACCAAAACTGTAATGTACTGGGGGGCAAACTCTCCACTGGTTGGAGTCATACCTGGCACAAAGGAAGATATTTCTGATTGGTTGGAGGTCAGTTGTCTCAGCTCCAGGACATCTCTGCAGGAGTTCCTCAGGATAGTGTCCTGGACCAAGCCATCTTCTGCTGCTTTATCAATGACCTCCCCTCCTTCATAAGGTCAGAAGTGGAGATGATTGCTGATGATTGCCCAGTGTTCAGTATCATTTGTGACTTTTCAGATACTGAAGCAGTCCATGTTCAAATGCAACAAGATCTGGACGATACAGTGTGGAGCTGGAGGAACACAGCAGGCCAGGCAGCATCAGAGGAACAGGAAAGCCAACATTCCCGGTTGGGATCCTTGTCTCTGACTCCAGCATCTGCAGTTCTTGCTATCTCCAAGATCTGGATGATATCCAGGCTTGGGCTGACCAGTGGCAAGTAACATTCATGCCACACAGATGCCAGACATTGACCGTCCCCAATAAGAGACAATCCAGTCATCTTGACATTCAATAGTGTTTCTATCACTGAATACCCTACCATCAACATCTTGGAGTTACCATTGACCAGAAACTCAACTGGACTTGCCACATCAACACAATGGCTACAAGGACAGGTCAGAGGCTAGGAATATGAATAACTCACCTCCTGACTCCCCAGAGCCTGTCCACATCTACAAGGTTCCAGTCAGGAGTGTAATGGAAAACTCCCCACTTGCCTGGATGGCTGCAGTTTCAACAGCACTCCAGAAGCTTCACACCATCCAGCACAAAGCAGCCCTCTTGATTGAAACCACATCCATAAGCATCCACTCCCTCCACCATCAACACTCAGCAGCAGTGTGTATTATCTACAAGATGCAGTGCAGAAATTCACCGAAGATCCTTAGTCAGCACCTTCCAAGCCCATGACCACTTCCATCTGGAAGGACAGGGGCAGCAGATACATGGGAACACTACTACGTGCATGTTACCCTCCAAGCCATTCCCACCTTGGTTTGGAAATATATTACCATTTCTTCACTGTTGCTAGGTCAAAATCCAGGAATTCCCTTCCTGAGGGCATTGTGGGTCAACACACAGCATATAGACTGCAGCATGTTCAAGAAGACAACTCACCACCACCTTCTCAAGGGCAACTGGGGACAGCCAATAACAAGCTGGCCAGCCAGTAATGTCCACATCCCATTAGTGAATAAAAAAGCCATTCACCATCCTGATTTGGAAATATATTGCTGTTCCTTCAGTGTCACTTGGTCAAACTCCTGGTAGTCTCTTTCGAATTACATTGTGAGACTACCTACAGCAAATGGACTGCACCGGTTCAAGCGGCAGCTCACCACCACCTTGTCAAGGGCGACTAGGGATGGGTAATAAGAATCAATTACACATTTATATTGAACATTTCTGTATCATCTAATTATATTGGATCTGGATCGGATTACATTTTGGAATTTGCCAGGAATAGGGAATTAAAATTACATGGACACACACTATGTGCTGAATAATTTTCGATGGAATAGCGAAGGTAGAAAGAGATTGAATTTTTTTTTTAATTAGCAAGCATTTTAGCAGAATAAGTAAGTAAAGACATTTTCCTGTAACTGGGGAGTTAATGTCATGGGATCACGAATTTAGAATGATTACTGAACCAGTAAGGAGAGAAATACAAAACATTTCCGTACAGAGGTTTGTGGTGGCATCCTTGTCACGGGAACTGTTGATTGCCCCATTGCCTCTTATGAGGGAAGATGCTCAGATATTTCGAGCAGAATAAGTAACAATAACTGACCTTTTTTTGACTGTGACTTATTTTTTTGGTTGCAGTAAACAACCAGCTCTGATCTGGCCCAATGGCCACTTATGTAAACCTATTTTTCGCAATTTAGATATTCAGCTTCGAAAGGAATCAAACATAACAAGACAACAACTCAATTTCTGCATAATCAAATCACAGAATTGTTGACAACAAGGTGCAGGGCTGGATGAACACAGCAGGCCAAGCAGCATCATAGGAGCAGAGAGGCTGACGTTTCGGGCCTAGACCCTTCATCAGAAAAGGGGGAGGGGAAGGGGGTTCCGAAATAAATAGGGAGAGAGTGGGAGGCGGATAGAAGAGGGATAGAGGAGAGGATAGGTGGAGAGGAAACAAACAGGTCGAAGAGGCGGGGATGGGGCCAGGAAAGGTGAGTGTAGGTAGGGAGTTAGGAAGGGGATAGGTCAGTCCAGGGAGGACGGACAGGTCAAGGGGGCGGGATGAGGTTGGTCGGTAGGAGATGGAGGTGCGGCTTGGGGTGGGAGGAGGGGATAGGTGGGAGGAAGAACAGGTTAGGGAGGCAGGGACGAGTTGGACTGGTTTTGGGATGCGGTGGGGGGAGGGGAGATTTTGAAACTTGTGAAATCCACATTGATACCATTGGGCTGCAGGGTTCCCAAGCGGAATATGAGTTGCTGTTCCTGCAACCTTCGGGTGGCATCGTTGTGGCACTGCAGGAGGCCCAGGATGGACATGTCGTCTGAGGAATGGGAGGGGGAGTTGAAATGGTTCGCGACTGGGAGGTGCAGTTGTTTGTTGCGAACCGAGCGTAAGTGTTCTGCAAAGCGGTCCCCGAGTCTCCGCTTGGTTTCCCCGATGTAGAGGAAGCCACACCGGGTACAGAGGATGCAGTATACCACATTGGCAGATGTGCAGGTGAACATCTGCTTGATGTGGAAAGTCTTCTTGGGGCCTGGGATGGGGGTGAGGGAGGAGGTATGGGGGCAGGTGTAGCACTTCCTGCGGTTGCAGGGAAAAGTGCCGGGTGTGGTGGAGCTGGAGGGGAGTGTGGAGCGGACAAGGGAGTCACGGAGAGAGTTGTCCCTCCGGAAAGCAGATAAAGGTGGGGAGGGAAAGATGTCTTTGGTGGTGGGGTCGGATTGCAGATGGCGGAAGTGTCGGAGGATGATGCGTTGGATCCGGAGGTTGGTGGGGTGGTACGTGAGGACGAGGGCAGAAGACAGTCATTTGGCCCATTGTGTCTGCACCAGCTCTCCAAAGGAGCGTCACAACTTAGTTTGGTCATCATAACTTGGTGCCATTCTCCCACTCTTTCCCTGTAACCCTGCATGTTATTTCTGTTAAACCAATCATCTAATTCAATCTTGGAATGCATCAATTGAACCTGTTTCCACTACACTTACAGGCGGTGTAGTCCAGACCTGAACCACTCGTCGTCTATATGAAAAATGTCCTAATGTATCCAATCTATCTTCATAATTGAGATTTTCACATCCCTGCAACCATTTTTCAAAATCTTTTCTGTCCTCTCTCCAATGCGTTCAGATCCTTCCTAAAGTAATCCACCCAAAATTGTGTACAGTACTCCATTTGGTATAATGAGTGCCTCATAAAGGTTCAGTGAAACTTTCCTGCTTTTGTATTGCATGCCACTATTAACAAAGCATAGAATATGGTATGCTTTATTAACTGCTCCCTCTATCTGTCCTGCCACCTCTAATTATCATTGCACATATACAGCCGGATGTCTGTGGTCCTGCATACCCTTTACAGTAATATCCTTTACATTATGATGTTTAGAAACATAGAAGATAGGAGCAGGAGGAGGCCATTTGAGCCTGCTCCGCCATTCTTCACAATCCTGATCATCCAACTCAATGGCCTAATCCTGCTTTCTCCCCATAACCTTTGATCCCATTCGCCCCAAGTGCTATATCTAGTAGTCTCTTGAATACAGTCAATGTTTTGGCATCAGCTACTTCCTGTGATAATGAATTCCACAGGCACACCACTCTTTGGGTGAAGTAATGTCTCCTCATCTTCATCCTAAATCGTCTACCCCGAATCGTCATACTGTGACCCTGGTTCTGGACACACCCACCATTGGCAACATCCTCCCTGCATCTACCCTGTCCAATCCATGTTCTTCCCACAAAAATGTACTACCTCTCAATTCTCCACATTGAACTTCATTCATCTGCCACTTATCTGTCCACTCCATAACTTGTCAAGTCTTTTTGAAGTTCTACATTGTCCTTCTCCAGTTTATGATGTTCTAATTTACATTTTTTTGTAAGAAAAAATGATTTTAAATGAAATCTGTATTTCTATGTTTTTGAATATGATGCTCAAAACTTCTCTATAGATTTCGAAAGAATTTATGTCCCAAACCAAAAGTATAGCTGATTAAAAACTAATAGTTACAAATTTTAAGTGTATCTAGAGAATCTATTTGTTAACTTTTAGCCTAGTATAAATTCTGAGCTACATGATAGGTAAAACCTTGTGGAGAAGTGTATTTTAATGCTTGGCATTTTTATAATTTTACCCCCCAACAGGAAAAGTTCTTTGAAGTGGCATCAGAACTGATTGTGTATACCTACTTCTTTTCTGCTTCAGAGGATGCTTTACCAGAGGTAGTTTTTTTTTAATTATCATGTGTGTGTCTTAAATTTAAATGATGCATTTCTCTTTGTTTTCTGCTGCAAATACCAGTAGGACGTTCTTCTCCATCTTCCACACACAAATGACTCTATTATCAACTCTTTCTCTTACTGACAACATTCTTGGTTGAGTGAGTGCACATCTCTCTGAATCATGAGGTTCTGGGTTGAAGTCGTACTCAAGGGCTTAGGTACAAAAATGATCAAGGCTGTCACTCCAGTGCAGTATTGGGGAAGTATTGCCCTATAAGTGATCCTTTTCCTGAAAGAGAAGTTAAACCCACGTTCTGACTGCTCAAGTGACTGTAAAAGTTCCCCTGATACTAGGTCAAAGAAAAGCATGGGAGTTAGCCCTGATGTTGAGGCCAATATTTATTCCTCAATAAGCACCAAAAAACAATATCCAAACGTTGTCCCATTGCCGTTTGTGCATGGTTGCTGAGCACAAATTAGCTGCTAAATTCCTACATTGTAACAGTAACTATGCTTCAAAAGTACCTCATAAACTGTAAAGTGCTTCAAGACGACAGTCGTGAAAAGCATTACATAAATGGAAGATCTTGTTTTACTAATTAAAGCAACATTATCTCTTTTATTAAGCCTGTCAAAAGGTTTTTTTTAAACTCCTTTTCAATTTTAGTTTTCCATAATTTTTCAAATTTTAGTTTCAGTTTTAATAGTTTGTGTGACAGTGGTAGTGCCCTTGGCTGTGAGCCAGACGTCTGGGTGCAAGACCTACCAGCCTCGGAGGTGTGAAATAAGATGTTTGAACGGGTTAATTAACAATATATTTTTATAAGAAGACACTAGTTGAGTGGAATCCCTGTGATATTTTACTTTGTGAATTAATCTGCCCAAGTAAAGAATGGCTTTGAATTCTTCCTTCTTCAACTGGCTTTGAATTCTTCCTTCTTCAACTGGCTATCAGGACACTCCCCTGAAATTTTGCCATGTCCCTGTAATTTTTTCTTCAAATATTAATTTAGATCTCTTCTGAATTCTTCAATTGAACCTGTCTTCCATCAGTATCATTTAATGCCTCCCAAATGCTAAGCCACTCATTAACAGAGTCAACATAAATTCATAAAGGGTGAATCACGCTGACAAATCTGCTGGTTTTTTTGGGATATTCCTAGTGAGTCAATTAAAGGGAAACAATGGAGGTGATCTTTCTAGATTTACTCTGATAAAGCCCCACACAAGAGGTTATTAAACAGAATTCAAGCATGAGAGAATGGGACAGTAATATACTAGCATGGATTGAGGATTGGTTAATGGGTAGAAAGAAAAGAGTAGCGACCAGTGGGGTATTATAAGGATCAGTGCTTGGGACCAATTGGTCACAAATGATAATCAATGATTTGGATGTGGGGGCCAATTGTAATATTTCCAAGTCTGAAAACAATACAAAATTTGGTGAGAATATGAATTGTGAGGCAAATGCAAAGAGGCTTCATGAGAAGTTAGATAGGTTGAATGTGTGGGCAAGAACGTGGCAGCTGGAATGCAATATGGATAGGTGTGAGGTTATCCACTTTGGTTGGAGGAATGAAGATGCAGTATTTGTTTCTCGATGGTGACAGATTGGAAATTGTTTATGTCCAAAGGGACCAAGGTCTGGTTGTTCCTAAGTCTTTGAAAATTGCCATGCAGGTGCAGCAGGCAATTTGGAAGACAATGGTATGTTAGACTTTATCAGAAGAGGGTTTAAGTGCAGGAGCAAAGAACTCTTGTTTCAATTGCATAAAACAATGTTGGGACTGTAATTGAAGCTTTCAGTTGGAGATTTACCGCACAGAATGCAGTGGAAGTTCACTAGTCTGATTTCTGAAGTGATGAAGCTGGACTATGAGAAGAGATTTGGGAAACTGGGCCTGTATTCTCAGGATTTTAGAAGAATGGGAGGTGATCTCACAAAAATTTACAAAATTCTTAAACGGGTAGGCAGAGTAGATGCAAAATGGACGTCTCTCCTGGCTGTAATGTCATGAATTAGAGGGCATAGACTCAAATTAAAAGGCAAACCATTTCGGCCCGAGATGAAGAGGAACTCCCTCATTTTAAAAGTGGCGAGGGAATGGTATTTTCAACCCAAGTGGCTTGTGGAAACTCCTCCATTAAGTGTGTCATTCAAACTGATCGATTTTTAGTTACTAATGGCAGCAAGGGATTTGTGGATAGTGTGTGAATGTGATACCAAAATATGTTTTAGAATGGTAGAGCAGACTTGGGGGGTGAATAGCTTATTCCTACATCATTCCTCATATCTTTGGTTCACATGTGAAGTAGCACAAGTCTCTGTCATTATCAACCCTTCAGCACGGGAAAAACTTCTCCATATTTATGGAAATCTTTAAAAACTTTACAAAACTTTGACCTGTTTGCTTGAAGAACAATTTAATGGTTGTCCCTTATCGCTAGAGCTTTAATATATCTCTCCAGAGCTTTCATATTCTTCCTCAGTGATGATGTACATACACAGTATTCAAGCTGTAACTTAAATTGTGCTTCATTTCAGTTTATCATAACTTTATGGCTTTTGCACTTAAAGCCCAGGATCCCATATGCTTTAGTAATTGCTTTGAAGCTGGCATAACATTGCAGCAAAGATCTGAGCACAAAGCCCATGTCTGTATTCATTAACAAAAGAAACAATTTTGGCTACTTTTTGTTGAAGCTTATTCTTTGAGAGAATTGTATGTTTCTTTAGAGTTGAGTCTGTCCACAGGTGATATGGTGGGTACATAAGATTGAATTTGGGGATATTTTGTAATTAGTCTGTTCAGGAGTGAATGTGTTACATACCCTCTGGAGCAGATGGGACTTGAACCCCGGCCTCCTGGTTCAGAGGCAGAGTCACCATCACTGCACCACAAGGGCCTTACCAGGATTCAATTTGAAGTGATCCCTGCAGTAGATCCATAATTCCATATCTAAACTAGTGAGGCCATCTCCTACTTTAGGGTCTTAATGATAATAGGCTAATTGAACTACAGTTTATTCAGAATCTTGTCACTAAGAACTGAGATGCCTCTCACCTAGCTTCTGTTTCTCACATCAGCAGTTGGACAAGCAGCAATAAAATTGCTTGTGCACTGAGTGCTTTTAGTTGGTTAAACTGGGGAGGTGATGTCTTAGTGGTATTATTGCGGGACTGTTAATCTAGAGACCCAGATAATGTTCGAACCTTAATGTAGGAACTTGAATTCAATAATAATAATAGAAGTTTGGAATTAAGAATTTAATAATGACCATGAATTCATTGTTGATTGTAGAAAAAATCTATCTAGTTCACTAACGTCCCTTAGGGAAGGAAACTGTCATCCTTACTTGGTATGGCCTACACGTGACTCCAGACCCACAGCAATGTGATTGACTCTTAACTGCCCTCTGGGCAATTAGGAATGAGCAATAAATGCTGCCTAGCCAGCAATGCCCTCATCCTGTAAATGAATAAATTAAAAAAACTCTAGCACTATCTTCACTTGTCCTTGAAAATTTCTGAATATTCTTCGTATCTGGCAAGTGGAAAATATGTAGATTTCTCAGTAATTTGAGTATTCTTAGTGTAATGTTGGAATTTTAATGGCCAAAAGCTGTGATGAAAGGGTTTTTTGGAATGCAATAATTGGTCTATATCTAAGCATATATTTGGGGCCAGCTTTCCCTCTATCTCAGTTGGTAGAGCAGAGGACTTTATAGTGGATTAAAAAATTAAGGGCTGTCATGGCTCAATCATAGTGTCCCTACCTCGGTAGCGGAAGGCCCAGGTTCAAGTCCCATTTGCTTCAGAGGTGTGTCTAATATGTCTTAATTAATTGATTAAAACATCTGTACTTGGGATCCAAGGCTGTCGATGGTAAACTTGCTATTTTTGGTTGAAATTACTTATTTTCTGAGTAGTTTCCATGCAGTCACACACTGTCTCTGCCTAATTACCCAAGACTAACATCACCACTGATCAGAAGATTGTAGGAAGAGTCTTGTGAATAATTGCTGTTTTGGCTATTAATGCTGTAGGAGATTACGGAAAAAATGTGTAACCATACAGAAAATTAACGCAAAGATGTGCAGGAGCTTCCCTGAGCCATAAAAGCACAAAACATAGGCCATTTGGCTCCTCAAGCCCACCTTGTAATTCAGCAAAAATGAATCAATTGGGGAAATTCAGCAACCAATTTGCACCTAACAAAGTCCACAAATTACAACAAGATAAATGATCAGATAGAAATAGTGTTTTAAGCCAGAATTCAACATTTGGTCTAAAATAATTTTAGGTAGTTTAGCCAGGTGTGAATGTTTAAATGTTATTTCAAGACGGAACAAGTTCACATTTGATCCCACTATAGGCAATAATGTTCTAGATCTTCTTGGTGAAAATAACAACCAAGCTGACTAGGTGCTTTTCATCTATCAGTATAATACCACTAAGAAAGATTCTGGACAGTTTGTAAGTGTTTGTGATGATGCTTTTCTACCAGGATGTCTCTGTCCAAGAACTTCCTGCTGTGTTGGTGTTCAAAGATGGAACCTACTACACATATGATGGTGAGTCCAGAAAGCACTTGTGTACATCTGTTATTGTGGGGAGAAATTACGGGAAGATGATGCTAAAGCCAAAATTCATGAAATAGGACATAGCACGGTACCCTTAGAACCTATACAAAGATGCCCGCTGTCTGTACCTTCTTTTTAATGTTCTGCTAGGGTGAAAATGGAATTGAAAAGCCTGATTCTTCTGAACTGAACTCAAATCATTCGTGGCCTCTGGCCTGAAAATCCAGAATTGCACTTATTTTTGTTCCTGGGGGACAATTGACCTTGTCCAATTGTTTAGCTCAAATAAATGACTTTGGTACATGCCTATTTAGCCAAATTTACGACCATTTTGGCACTTTGTGATCACTCAAGTAATTTGTTAAAGTTGTTTATATGTTCGTCTCAGGTTTGGCCGAACACTACCAAATCGTCAATATAAACAGTATAATTCCAACACAACACTTAATCTTTCAGTGACTTTGTTGGATAATTGTTGACAAATTATTGCTGCATTTTTACAAATGGTGTGACTTTAAATTGATAAAGCCCATACAAAGGCAAAAAAAATTTTGGTGTATCAATCAATGGAACTTATCAATATCCTTTCATTATGTCAATTAGTGTAACAAGTCATGCATGTCCAATTCTCTTGATGCAATTCGCCAATCATGGTGTCGGATATGAATCTACCATTGTTACCACATTGACGTTGCTATAATCAATGCAGTGTTTGTGATCAATTTTGTTTTGACACCATCAAGAAGGTGAGCCCACCTACTATGACTCTGTTCAGTAATGTCATTGTCCATTGTAAACTTTAACTAGAAGGGTCTCGACCCGAAACGTCAGCTTTCCCGCTCCTCTGATGCTGCTTGGCCTGCTGTGTTCATCCAGCTCTACACAGTGTTATCTCAGATTCTCCAGCATCGGCAGTTCCTACTATCTCTGATTATTAGAGGGACCCACTTTTTGAATTTTCTCTTTCTGGTTCATTTTCATATTATGAAATTATATTTCACTCCCTATTTCTTTCCTCGAGATTATGGATGATGGGCTGAAGACGTAAATTGTTTTATTCTGAAACTCTGCTTATCTCTGAAAACTTGTGAAGTAAAATTTGAAACTTGATCTGACTGTTTCTTTGGGTAATCCATGTTGTAAAATATTGGACTAACTTTTCCACTACTGTTTTTTGGTCTCGTTCTCCCCAAGGGCACTGTTTTGGGAAATCTTGCTGATGCATTCATGATTGTTTTAAAAAAAGTACTGATTCCTACTCCTGGTTTTACAATTACTAAGACCCTGCTAAACCGTTCTTTAAAAGCTGGTACCAGAATTAAAGGCATAGTTTAGTATTATTTTGAAACGTGCAATTTTAGGATAAATAGGAAAAACATCTGCAATCTTCAGTGCTACTTTTGGCACAAAGGAGAACATGGAGCAAATGCCAAACTGTTGTCCACTATAGATACTGCACTAATGGGATTCAGTGCAATTGAATGGCCTGTGAATGGATTACAAGTCTTTTTCATGTTGGAATGGAGCCATGTTGCCCAGCAGCTATTTCAATGATAGCACATTGTAGTGGGTGTACTAAGACAGCGCTTTGATGTTGTGGATATTGTGTTTTTCTCATGCCTTCATGTTTTGTATCATTCCTGATAAGACAACATGCTCATTCAGGTATCAATCCAGTAAACCCCCTCTAACCAGAAGACCATGCGACCGAAGAGCAGAAAAAGGCCATTCAGTCTATCAAGTCTACTCTGCCATTCAGTGAAATCATGACTAATTTGATCATCCTGAACTCTACTTTCCTTCCTTGTTCCCATAATGCTGGACCCTGTTATTAATTAAAAATCTATTCATCTCCGTCTTGATTTCACTTATGACTCAGCCTTGATAGTGTGATAAAGAATTCCACTGATCCACGACGCTCTGAGAAGAAATTCTTACTTATCTCTGTCTGAATTAGATGACCCCTTGTTTTGACATTATGCTGTCTAGCCTTAGACTCTCCCAAAGGGGAAACAACCTTTTTGTACCTACCTTGTCAAGCACTCTATAAGAATTTTTGTAAGTTTCAATAAGGTCTCCTCTCAATCTTCTAAACCACAATGAGTGCAAGCCTAACCCATGCAACTTCGCATACGAAAATCCCTGCATACCCATTATCAATCTTGCGCACCTTCTCTGAATTGTTTCCAATGCCAGTATACTTTCCTTTAGATAAGGGCACCAAAACTTTTTTTTTGTTAGTTTTGAGTGATTTTTCCTGACTAGTGTATGGTATAATTCTAACAAGACCTCCACGTTGTTATACTCTATTCCCTTTGAAATAAAAGACCAGCATTCCATTTGCCTTTCCTATCGTGTGCTGAACTTAAATGCTAGTTTTTTGTGATTCGTACACCGGGACTCCCAAATCCAAAATTTAAATAATCAGCTCTTCGCAAGGTGCACAACACATTTTTCCACAGTGTATTCCATTTGCTGGGTTTTTGCCTATTCACTTAACCTGTCTATACCCCTCTGTATCATGCCCACTACTTGGCTACTCACCTATTTTTAAGTCATCTGAGCATTTGGTGCTAGTACTTCAGTCATCTAAGTATATTAATATATATTGTACATAATTGTGACTACAGCACTAATCTTTCTCAACTAGTTATAGTTTGCCATCTTGGAAATATCCCCTTTATCTAAACTCTGCCTTCTATTAGTTAACCAGTTCTCTTTCTATACTAATACAGTGTGCCCAATATCATGGGTTCTTATATGTGGTACCTTTTATTGTACACCTTTTAGCAATCCAAATATAATACATCTACTGGTTCCCCTTTACCTGTCATATGCTTGTTACCTCCTCAAATAACTCTTAAGAAATTTAACAGGCATGATTATCCCTTCATGAAGCCATGTTGACTCTGCTTGATTATGTTGTGTATTTCTAAATGCTGTATTATTACAATCTTCATATCACATCACATTTTCCCAGTGACAGATATTAAGCTAACTGGCCTATAGTTACTTGTTTTTGTCTCCCTTTTTGAATAAATGGTACATTTGCAGTTTTCCTGTCCTGTAGGACTTTGCCAGAATCTAAGGATTCTTGGAAGATTACTACCACTGCATGCCCTATCTCTTTAATATCCTAGGATGCAACATCAGGGTCCAGGGAACTTATCATCCTTTAGTCCTATTAGTTTTCCTACTACTTTTTTTCTCCTCTAATGATAATTGTTGTGTTTATTTCTGTCCCTCTTAAACCCTTTGATTATTTAGTATGTTTGAAATGCTATTAGTGTCATCACTGTGAAGACTGATAGAGAGTATTTATCTAACTCCGCTGCTATTTCCTGGTTCCCCATTATTATTCCCCCAGATTTGTTCTGTAGTGGGCCTGTATTTACTTTGATCCCTTTTGCTTGTGACATATTTAAAGAAGATCTTGCTGTCTGTTTTTTATATTACTTGCAAGATTATTTTCTTAACTCATTATTTTGTTGGCTTGTAAAACTCCCCAGTCGCCTGGTTTACCACTGACCTAAACTAGTCAAGGTCAGTGACAGTGCTGGAAACATTGGCTTGATGGTGTTCGATAGTGGAGTCTACGGGAGGTAGGAAGTTTGTGTTTGGTTTCTGCATGGTAGCCAGGTGTGCCAGATAGAAACAGCCACATCTTTGCCACAACAAGGTTTATGACAATACTGGATTTGGCTCCTTGAGCATGAAGTGCTGCAAGTACAAATGGATGAAGCCAAAAAGAGATCAATTGGTGTGAGAATAATAGAAAAGGACTTGCAGAGCCAGGGAAAGATTTATTGAAAAATAGAAATTTTCACCTCAGCAAGAGGCCATACAGCCTGTTTTGCTTATGACAGTTTGTTGAAAGTTGTCCAATTTCCACACCTTGTTCTTTCCTCCATAGCCTTGTAAATGCTTCCATTTCAAGTATTAGCCCAGTGTTCAATTTAAAGGTTACTATTGAGTCAGGATCCACTGCCCTTTCAGGCCTTCGATTTCAGATTATCGTAATGCACTTAATTGAAATAAATTCCTCAACTCTCCTCTGTTTTTTTTTACAAATTATTCAACAGAAATTGTCCACCAACCAGAATTTTCAATATTCCTCCACTTCCACACCAAAGCAACTGTTAGACATGTATAGATTATCGATGCAAGTCTGAACTGATTGTAAAAGAAATATTTTTCCTTTGGTGTTCACAATGAAACGAGTCAAAAGTGGATCGACTCTAAGCCTCTGAAAATTGCAGTATATTTTGAGGCATGTTTTAATTTGATTCCTACTATTACAATAAGCTAGTGTTTCTTAAATCTGTGTCTTCTGGTTATCAGCACTTCTGACAGTAGGAACAGTTTCCCCTCATTTGTTAAAATTCCTTAACTCAGAACATCACTACTAAATCTCCCTTTTAAACTTGTCTACTCTGAGGAGAGCAATCTCTGCTTTTACATAGGTATATATGAAAACATAAATTAGAAGCAGGAATAGGCCATTTGGCCCCTGAAGTCTACTCTGCCATTCAGCAAGATCACAGCTGAGTTAGTTGTGACCTCAACTCGATATTCTAGCCTAACCACAATAACCTCTGACTCCCTTTTCATCAAAAATGTATTTACCACTGTTTTTTAAAAAAAAATTCAGGGACTTGGCCTCTATCAATTCCAGAGATAGGTGAAGAGAGCTCTAAAGCCGTGGCATTCATCAGGCTTTATGGCCCATTAGCAGAGTTGTACTCCAGTGCAATCCACAACCTCCATGCTCAGCTATCCCCCATTCTATTACATCAAGCCACAGAAAACCAGGTTCAAGAAGGCATGCCAAGATTAGTAGTAGAATTGTCAACCTGGTGAAGCTACAAAACAGGACTCCTTCCTTGCCAAACAGTATAAGCAGAAAGTGATAGAGCTAAGTAATTCCACAACCAACGGATCAGATCTAAACCCTGTTGGGAATAGTAGTGGACAATTAAACAACTTGTGGA